TTCGAGTGAGCCGAGGATTACTTGAGCCATGGTTCATGGGCCCCCAATCCATCAACAAGTGCAACGATTTGCCCAATCCCTATTCGGTGCTGAGACTAAATTTGGCCAAAGCAAGTCGCCGCACGGGCAACAGACAGGCCACCACATCATCCTATGCCAACATCGCAGGGCCAGATGGTCATTGCTGACGCAACGAATCACCGCACAACCGAGGCATTTATCGGGTTTTCTGTATGTTTAAATTTTACGGCAAAACCTTGTGCACACACGAACTGTTTCTGCTAATGTTCTGTGTGTGTGTCTCTGATGATAAATTCGCGACGGAGTTTGAAACGTCAGGCGAATAAACATATCGTCCCAGCGGTCGAGTCGCCTTTTAATTCTCAAACTTGATGTTTATTATAATTTTATTATGGTTTCAAAAATTCCCATCGCAGAAATCCGAAGAGTAATTGGCGAGCATACGTATACTTTCAATAAATTCTCATCAAGCCACTACATTTGTATTGGAGGGGGTGGGAGGTTAAGTGTAAAAGGTTAAAATTATGTTCAAAGTTACAAGCAAATTAGTCCAGGGGAGCATACTTTTAATAAATTCTCATCGGGTCATTACATTTATATGGGAGGGGGGGCAGCGTAAAAGGTAAATTGTAGGTAAATTACGTTCAAATTTACAAGCAAATTACAAATTACGTTCAACGTTACAAGCAAATTAATCCAGGGGATAGGGGAGAGGGTGGGATTGTTACAAGCGGCTAATTAAGCGGTAATTAGGAAGAACGAGGGGGGGAAGGGAGAGAGGAGGCTCGGGGGAAAATGCCGGTAGCTAGATGACCGTTGGCCATGCTAAGCTTGGGGCTTGCAGCAGGTTCTTCTGCGCGCACAAAATTGGCTTCCGCAACCGGATGGCAGTTGTTTCTGCTTTTGCCAACAGGCACTGGCCCAGTTAATTAGGGTAGCTTGGTGGGACCTTCTAGATCACCCCGAAGGCTTCGTTGGGGTCCACCTGATGTCCGGAATCCACCATGTGCGCTAGA